TGAACATACCTTTTTTAATAATGTGAACTGGTTCCTTTGGTTTATCAAAATAACCAGTAGATCCTTTGGAATGGACATCAAGATTATTCCAACTTAATGTACTGGGTTTGAAATTAGCAACACACGGGCTTAAGTCTTTCGAGGAAAATTTGTAGTTGATCTTGATTGAGAAAGAAATTAAACTCTGTTACTCTCTTCAGGAAATTTTCATCGTCGTTGTCTATCGAGTTAAATTTTTCTGGTTTCATTCACATGTTTGCTGATAAAATATTGAATGAAACACAGGAATCGTTAGATAACGACTCATTAAAAAAGATTTCCTGAAGAGAGTAGGGGAGTTCAATGTGAAAACAAACATGATTATGGCTCAACAATCTTCGATAATCTATTATGATCGAATGGAATACAATGGAACAAGAATTTACCATTTGATGTTGATTGAATTTCATTTGATCAATAGATAGGGTTAGTAAAGAAATGATCCGATCCTCTTCCAGGTTTGCCTTTTGTCGTTTCGCCATCGATAGCTAATATTGTTGACTGTTGGGTTGAACTGAATAAATGGTTGGATTCTAACTGAATTTATTGTAAAAACTCTAACAATTAAAGAATCATTTCATTAAAGTAACTGAAAAATTTAATTATTCTGTTGATCAAGTCTTTTGTCGCTCTTTACTGAAGCATTTTATTCAAAGCGTTTCAACATGTCTAAATAATAGATACCACAAGTAATGATAGATAAGGCTTTAGTGCAAATTATCAAGAAAATTCATCATAATTATGATTCACAATCTGACGACTGTACTTATAAGTTTGAGTAAAAATGATAACTCAATTCGTAAAGTGCCATTCGATCTAATTCAATTTTAAACGCATTTCGATTCTATTAATGTTTCTATTCTGTTTAACTCCCAATACTCTTGGACTAACACGCTGTTGTATGCTCAGGTTTAATGGTCAACTCCATTGTATTACTTTCCTAATAGCATTATTAGCATTTTTATTCAACCATTTGTCTGAAATCTTTATCTCTAGATTTCCATGAGTATGTTTCTTAGTGCAAAAATATTGGAAAATTCATTCTAATTCTGAATGACGACAATTTTGTTGTATTTATCTGGGTTTTGAGTGCAATTACAAATTGATTGCCCATTCGACACGTTAATTAGTATATGAAGTAGGATTGCTTTTCGAGTTTTGATTTTCTTGCAGTTTTTAGAGCTAATAGTGCTTTCACTCAAACTGATTTTCTGATTTCTGATTTCACTTTTGGCCCAACCAAGTAATTCACTTAACTTTCTGTTTCTCATTTAACAGATTACTTCGAATTTTGCTGATGATGATGACTTCAAGAGATGGTCACAGCTAGAGTTGAATATTATTTTTCATCGACACTGGTGTCGTTTAAATTGGGCAAACAAATTTAAGCAAACCTCTTTACAGCAAATATTCAGACATGCAAATTAGGTTTAAGCTAGTTTTAGGTTTCAGTCTTAACCAGTTCAAGTAAATCTCAAGATTTCACTGATCGATAGTTTACGATCAAACAGAGTTCAATTTTGGCCCTTTGATTGCTTTTCATTTGATTATGGAAAAAGGTTTTACATTAGAATAAATTTTCGGTTGTAAATGCAAAGACGCAACAAAGCATTGACAGAAATGGGTAGAAACGGGGACAAATTACTTTCTTTAAAATTTAGATTCTGCTGGTTTGTAAGAACATAAAGACTGCATTCATTTGTTTGATTTAAAAGTTTCTCTGGTCGATAGTTTTTGAGGAAATCGAGGTCAAAGTTGAAACTTCGATTGCCTTTAGTACAGTTGAGTGAGCCAATTTTTTAATATAACTTCATTTCGCTGATGTAACTTTTGATGCTTAACCAGAAAATGGGCTTAGTTTGTTAGATAAAATTTTCTGTTTCCTTTAAAACAGATCAATTCGATTTTTAGTTAAACCGACCTTATTCTGAGGCCATAAGAGTTAGAGAAATTAAACTTATTATTTGTCCATAAAAATGGTTTGTAAAAATCATGGATGCAATATTTTTCTTCTTTTATCAATAGTTCTCTTGATTTTGCCCATTAACCTAAAAATTTCGAGCCTCATTATTACAAGAATGGCATCACCTACAATCTTAATTCTTTCACTGCTACAATCCTTTGCTAATTAATAACTAAATTCAAACAAATAATTTTCGAATAACCCATCTGGGTCATGATATTTGGGTTGTAAATGTTTAAGAAACAACTTATTCAACACAACAAACTCATCTCAACCAATTTCTTGGTAAATAAAACAATTTTCTGGTTAAACTTTCAATCGCAATGCAAAGACTTCTGCTAAAGGCTCAATCATTTGAGCAAAGATTTGCGAGTTATTGGGTTTTGTAGGGCCATTAAAACTGCATCTATTGGTCTTATTAAATAATTAGTTCGTTTGATAGTTTTCGAGATAATCGCGGTCAAAGTTTAAACTTCGATCTCTTTTTGTACGGTTGTGTGATCAGATTTTTTCATGTAATTTCATTTCACTTTTGATGGTTAACCACTAAATGAACTTATTTTGTGAAATTAAATTTTTCATTTTCTTCAAAACAGATCAGTTCGATTTTTAGTTAAACCGACCTTATTCTGAGACCATCAGTGTTAGAGAACTGAAACTTATTATTGATCCATGAAAATTGATTGTACACATCATGGATACAATAGTTTTTTTGATTTATTAACAGTTCTCTTTGATTTTGGCCATTGGCCTTAAAACTTTGAATCTCAATATTTTGAGAATGGCATCATCTATAATCATCATTTTTTCACCAAATAATAGATTTTATTATTGGCTTCGATTAATTGGAATATGAAATTATTCAAGATCCTAAAAGAGAAGTTACAGCATTTTATTTCTTATGTTGTCAGATTGGATACTTTCTTTATCAAGGTAAATGTTTTTCACAAACAAAATATTGTGTGCTAGAAGAATATGCATTATTGAATGAAATTAATCAGATTTATTCGGTATTAATAAATACTGTGTTTTAGTCCAAAACAAAATCTACTATTTGGTGAAAGAAAGATGGTTGTAGGCACTACTATCATCGAACTATCGAGGTTCAAAGTTTTATGGCCAATGGCCAATATCAAGAGAACTGTTGTCGGATGGAAAAATATATTTGGTCCATGATGTGCACAAGCAATTTTTGTGTATCAAAAATAAGTTTCTGATTTATAACTCTTATGGTCCCAGAATACGATCGGTTTAACTTAAAAGCGAACTGATCTATTTTGAAGGAACCAGAAAATTTCATTACACGAAATAAACCACTTTTACGGTTAACCATCAAAAGTTACATGAGTTAAATTAGTTTGATGAAAAAATGTGGTAACAAAACTGTACAAAAGGCAATCGAAGTTTCAACTTTGACCTGAATTTTCTCGGGGACTGTCGGTCAGAGGAGTCTTTTAATCGCACGAATGAATGCAGTTTTTATGTCCCTACAATCCCACCAAGTCTCAACTCTTTATTCAAATGTTCGAGTATTTTGCAGCACTTTTTGTATTTAATTTGTCAGTTCAACCAGAAAAGTGGTTTATTTAGCAAGAAATGGGTTGTTATGAGTTTGTTGTGTTGAATAAGTTGTTTCTTGTCCATTTATTACTCAAATTTTATGACCCAAGTGCACTGATTGAAATTTTTAAATTGCATTGAATTATTAACTAAACTATTATTATTAAAGAATCAAATTGGTGAAAGAAAGATGATTGAAGGTACTACCATTATCGAAATATCGAGGTTCAAAGTTTTATGGCCAATAGTCAATATCAAGAGAACTGTTGTCGGATGGAAAAAAGTATTTGATCCAGAATGTGTACAAACAGTTCTTGTGCACCAATCATAAGTTTAAGTTCTCTAACTCTTATGGTCACCGAATAAGGTCGGTTTAACTAAAAATCGAACTTGATCTGTTTTAAAGAAACAGAAGATTTCAATTCACGAATCAAGTACATTTTTTGGTTAACCATCATAAGTTAAAAGCAGTGGAATGAGTTTCATAGAAAAATCTGATCACACAACCATACAAAAAGAGATCGAAGTTTAAACTTTGACCGCGATCATCTCGAAAACTGTGGGTCAGAGAAGTCTATGAATCACACGTCTGCACGCAGTTTTTGTGTCCCTACAAACTGACAGGAGCCTAAATTTGGAAGGAATATATTTTTACCCGTTTTCGCCCACTTGTGTCTATTTGTGCTTAAATGTGCTCAATTGGGTCTTTTCCAGTAACAATCTGAATTATTAAAGTCACAATAGTTAAGTTGATGCATTTTTGATACGTAATTGTATAGATTATTAGATTTAGAAATGGTCTGGATCCTAAACGACCTCCGCTCTTCTTTTTTCCGACTTTAGAGACTTTTATTTCTAAGTTTTTATTACAGATTCAAATTATTCAAAACATTTAAAGGACAGAAAAGCACGATGCTATGCATTGAAAAAGCTTCGATTAAACGCGTTTTTAATCCTCATAAAAGTGTATTTTTATTGCATTCGGAACTTAATTAGAAACTTTTATTCCGACCGACTCTAAATTATCCACTTTTAGTAAATTAAATATTAAATTCAGTGTTTAAAATGTTTGCGAAATAAATTGTTCAGAACAATTTGTGCATAAATTTGACAATTATTTTACTTTTGTCTTTTTAGTAACAACCTAATTTTGTTGGATGTAACTTAGAATGACCGACAAGAAAATGAACTTTATTTCATGGAATAAAATTTTCTAATTGTGTACAACAATTAACTTGATTTTGTCGACATGACGACATGCACTTTAATTAACCTAAATATCAACGATCTAACAATTATTTCAATCTATCGGCAGTTCTCGTGATTTGCGCGAAATGCCTTTAAATCCTTCGCCCACTAAATCTTAGACATTCCAAGATTTCATTTTGAAACAAGTATAAAAATTACAATCTATAGTTATTTAAATCAACATAATAAATTTATTTGGTACCAATTTTAATTAAAGTAAGAAAATACAAAAAAAAGGCATGCAAATTAATCATTATCGTTGTAGTTTGACACGACCACGAAGTGCAACGTAAGCCAAAACACGAAATATGACTATGACGAAAATTAACAACCAGTAGTCAAGTTTAAGATTAGATTCTTTGAAACCAACAGAGGCAATTACTTGCTTCCCATTGACTAAACAACCTTGTCCAGTTGGAATGGTGCCGTTTGACACAGCAGATAAAACTCCTGCTATCGAGCTTGGAACAGGAGTCTCATAATCACAATCAATGTGAGTCACATCACGCCATTGATTTACTGTCAAGATTTCATTTGAATAGTAAAACCAAGAGAAATACTTTATCCAATTTATCCATTTCGGGATTGTGCTGAAAATAAAAACATATAAGATTAAATTTTGTATATTTTATAATATGCTTCATAGATTATCAACTATCAAATAACAAAACTCACCGATTATTCAAGAAAGCTCCACCAAGTAAAGCCAACGGAGAGATTAAAGGTGGTGCCAATTCAAGACCCACAGTCAATGAAGTTGAAATGGATGATACAAAATAACCAAAGCCAGCAGCTGCATTGACCAGTATAATGGAGACAGCATTACCAATCAAGAATGTATCGAAATCATTAACAAGTCCAATGGCATAATAACATCCTGACCATGTAGCGATAGGCAAAAAGATAAAATACGGTAAATCTGACATCATTCTGGCAATGAAATAAATGCTAACTCGATACAGTCCGGCAGCATGTTCTCGCAAGAATAATGGCATTTCATTACAAAAGGCCTGAGAAAATAAATTTTACTGAATTAATCAACTGGCAAAATAAATTTAAAATCAGTCTACGACATACTTACACCAATAACCAGAAAGATGCTGGAAAAATTTGCATTCATAATCGAAAGGAAAATAGCTCCATTTATATTCATTATGCCTTCTTGATTGTAATCTTGTCCCCAGTAAACCAAAGCCACAAGAAGCGCGGAAAACTGTTAAGACAAGTAAAAGTAGAGTTAATAAAGATACAAGGTTGAAAAAATTAATATTAATTGACTAACAAGTGTATTAACGATTCGTGATGTTGTCAACATGGGATCTCGCAAATTAATCACAGCAGATCGGTAAGTTAATAGATTGAATTGTGAAAATATTCCTATCTGGGCTGTTTTAGAATGATGTTTCAATTTATCAGGACTATTAAAGGTAGCTTCAGATACATTTTTGAATTCACTTTTAAGGTTTCGGTGATATTCAGAAGCTTCATAAGTGTCACAGATCATCTGAATAAAAGAGAAAAAGAAATAAGTTAAATTGAGTTTCATGTTTTACATCGATATTATACGTACATTTACTTTAGACGAACTTTGTTCTCTGTTTCCAGGAGCAATGGATAATTGTTGGATGAAAAAATCTGATGGATTATAATTTGATGGACAATTGAATCCAAGTTGCGAAAAGAAATCTAGTGCTTTATCTGCAGTTCCTAGAAAAGCAACTCGACCTTCAGCCAGCAACATGATTTGATCAAACATTTTGAATATTTCAGATGATGGTTGATGAATGGTACATACAATGGTTCGTTGCTCATTAGCCAAAGATTTAAGAACAGATACAACAGTTTGAGCCATAAATGAATCAAGACCAGACGTTGGTTCATCACAGAATAGTATTGCAGGATCGGTTAAAATCTATCATTCAAGATTGTAAACAAAGATTGATATTAATGCACAAATTAACAACCACAATAATATTAAATACACATATAATAATAAATCGATAAGCAATGAAAATAATGTTTTTACCTCAGTAGCAATAGATAATCTTTTAAGTTCACCACCTGATAATCGTTGTCCAGTAGATTCACATTTTATCCGATTTTCAGCAACTTTCATTAATCCTAACTGAAAATAATAAGTTTACAAACCAAATAGATTATTAGTTCAATTGTAATGACTTGATGATATGAAAACTTACCTTTTCGAGAATTTGATCAATCCTTTTGTCAATTTGACTAGCATTCATAGAAACTGGAGTTCTAAGTTTAAGTTGGAATCGCAAGTGTTCTCGCACAGAAAGAACGCCAAAGAATAAATCCTCTTGTTGGACATACGATGAACATGAAGACAACCTTTCGATAGTAATTGGCTCATTGTTCAAAGAGACTTGTCCTTCAATGGCCAATTTATTCAAATTTTGACCAGTTAATACATTCAGTAAAGTGGTTTTTCCTGCACCAGAAGCTCCAAGAATGGCCAACAGATTACCAGGTTTTGCTTGACCAGAAACTATTTCGAAGAAAGAGAGAGAATCAAATATTAAATTCTATTATTAAAACAACATCTCTAAGATACAATTAAATAATAAAAAATTGACAGATAAAAATAGTCATGATTGCAAATATGAAAATTTATTGCGAAGACTTTTTATGGTTTTAGTGGATATTTTGAATAACAAAAATTCGAGCAAAGTCTCCATTGCAAACATGTATCCCGATTTTGGCCGTAAAATGATTAGACTATAATTTAAACATACCTTTTTTGATAATGTGAACTGGTTCCTTTGGTTTACGAAAACAATTAGTTAAACCAGACGATCCTTTGGAGTACACATTAAGGTTATTCCAACTTAATGTAGTGGGTTTAAAATTAGCAGCACTCGAGTTTAAATCTTTTGATGAAGATGAAGCATAGTTGTTTATCTCTGTTAAGGAAATATATTATTGTACAATAATATCAAAACAAACAAACGAGATTCAATAGCTATCGATCAGCTATTATTATCGAACTTGACAAAGTAAAAAAGACTTTACCATTAGGTGTTGACTCAATCTCATCTATGGAAAAGTTGGGATTACTGAAGAAATGTCGGGATCCATTTCCCGGGTTTCTTTGTGTCTGCTCCTCAGTTGATAACATTATGATTATCCGGTTAAACTGAATAAACCATGAATTTCAGATTAACTGTAAGACTTGCAAAATTCAATTAGATCATCTTTAGATCGGTAAAAATCACTAATAAATGTTGAACTTGATAACCAAAGGCAAGATGTGAAGTAAGAGTAGGCACCAGAACTGGTTCAATGGCTCTTGTCAGTAAAGATTGAATCAAGTTGCAACTGCACTTACGAAATTATTCATTTCAATTCATTCGTAACTCGATAATGGGTTAGACTTGATATTGAAAGATAAATTATCCATGGTTACATTAACGATTATTATAATCACTTTGATAACATCCATCCTTTTCCATTGCAGGGAACCTCATTTTTCTGAAGACACATTGCGAAAAGAAACTCATTTTAATATTATGCTGCAATCAGATAGTAACATCAGAAGCAAAAAATATCACACAATTTCACGTGAATCAATTGAGATGAATTAATAAAAATGACAATGAAAGCAACCTTTTGACACAATTAAGAAATGCTTTTAAATAAAGGATTTGTCTCAAAGAGTTCCTCTTTGATTTGTCTTCTAACAGCAGACTTTCTGCCTAATATTTGATCTCGTGATTCAACGAGATCAATAAATCGATAGTAACCAGCTGATTAACAAAATGAATGGCTTTTTGGTTCCAATATTGAAATTTTTTTCTGGATTAGTTCATTTTCCCAAAAACTAAATTACTATTATTATTATTAGTAATTTAACCCAACAAAAGATTAAATTATTAATTGATAGCAAAGATTCAGTAGTTTAATTTAGGTGTATAATTACCAGTTAGATATTTGAACCTTTAAACAATGGAATTTTTAATCATTTTCAATCCCTAATCATTAAAATTGTAAGGAGAGTAAAATTGATAAATTCATAAAAATCACTGAATGGGTTCAATTTGAAATTAAACATCTGCAACTCGATACTTTCGAGTCGAAAGTCCATCACAACTTGAGATTCGCAAGAGAAGCAACAGATTTTAAACTCGGTAGATGGAACCAGTGATAAGCTTGATCATTGAAAAATGACAATTTTCATGTTGAATTTATAATTATTTTTAAATACAATTTGACTAATTAATTGATCTCAACAAGTAGGGGATACGTTCTGGAGTACCTGAGGACTTGACATTTGAATCTAATCCTCATCTGATAGTTACGTACAATTAGATCATCAATAGCTTAGTCAATAGTAATTTTTCCATGTGATACACACTCAATGAATATCCGCTTTGGTTAAGTTATTAATAAGCTGATTTTGTTTTAAATCACTTGAAATTAACTTTGTTCCCTTTTTTTCAATGAAATTTTCATTTTCGATAAAATAATCCAGATTGAATCATCAATTTGAATAGATTAACCAGAAAATGAACCAAAATTTGTGCTCATCTATTCCTGTAAATGCATCTACAATTCATTATGGCAATATGAGCTAAAGATTAACATGACATTTACTGGAAATTTTCAATTCCTGCCTTTTTTTGGTTAAATATTTACCAAATCTATTCAAAGTGCAGTTCAAGTTGATCATTGATAGATTCATTGCATTAGCAAAATTGCCGCGAATTGAAGGTGAGGGCTATGTCAAACTTATTTTAATGTTGATTTTCAGATCAGAAGTATCGAAATTATATATTTAACGTTAAAATGGGCAAAATCTAACGACCGGTTTAGCCACAATCGCATTCACAAGACAAATCTGGACAGCTTCAAGGCTATATCTCGTTGAGTAATTACAACAAAAAGTTGTGACTTGAACCATTGATTGTCTTATCAATTTACACATGTATACAATAAACCAGCACTCTAGGACATTTCAAGCGAAAGATCATTTATTCATTTTTCCGTGGCCGAATCACAGATCACAACAGAGGATCTTTTTAATGGCTAGAAATGTTTATTACTGTTAGGTTCAAGCCAAACTGCTTTAGACACAGTTGTGTTCTCAGCAAAAAAAAGCGTAGCAAAGATTTTTATTTTTGAAAACTCACTTTTGTGTTTATTGTAAAGTTTTTCTGTGAAAAGCCAAGCGCAAATAGATCAAACTTAATTTACAGGGCATTTCAGATAGTTTTAGCGATGATAAACCGCTATTAAACCGATAAACCGATATACCGCTATTACTTGGCCTTCGATTGACCTAGAGACTGGCGAATTTTTTATAGAAATTTCGCCGATACTAAATTGTCATATTTCATGGTCAAGGTCATCCAAGGTCATTTTTCGAAAATCGCTCCTAACGATATTAGACGTCAAACAAAGTCATATGATAATTTTTAAAGTCAAATAATCAAACTGGACAAGTGCCATTTTGGCATAAGTGCTTCGTGAGTTGAAATTAATACATTCGATTTTAAGAATTGGCAGAATTTTCCTTTAATCGGCAATGTCATCCATCCTTATTGCAAAGGAATTGAAGAAAACATTATACTGTTGTTCGAGTAACTTTTTATGGACCGACTAATCTTGTTCCAGTTGTTAAAAGTACAGCTGCCATCGCTGGACAATATGACGTTGATGCCAAATATATCATGAAGTACATCTCTAGTTAATCCATTTAACAAAGCAATGAACCAGCTGTAAATCACTTAATCTGTTGGTTAATTTGATGATAAAATTTGTATTTTTGAAAAATGCTCAAAATTTTTCATTTTGTTCTCAGAAAATTAGCTCATCTTAAAGTATTAGGTGGGAAGGTAATTCGTGTAAAAAATATGTTCGAGCGGGTAAAAAAATTTTATTTAAAGATATTCGCCATTTAGACCAATACAGGGCATTTCAGCTAATTTTACCGTTATAAATTGGCTACATCTTTGCCTCTGAGTGACCTTGAGATTAGATATTATGTTTATGGAAGTTTGGGAGATACTCAATCGTCATATTCCAAGGTCAATGCGTTATCTGACCTCTAACTGCTATTTGGAGGTCATTTTCTAAGAGTGCAATAATTTTCATATTGGCTGATGTTTACTACGAGTTATTATCTTACGTTGTACGAAAGATAAATGCATTTTTCTTAAAACAAATTGATCAACATAACATGTGTAAACACTCATATCTTTTAACCAGAATAAGTTATGAACATGTCACTAGCATCAACTAATAACATCAAATAACGTCAAATAACGCAATGACCTTGAATGACATTGACCTTGAAATATGACAATTGAGTATCGCCTAAATTTCCATAAACAAAATATCTAACCTCAAGGTCACTCAGGGGCAAAGATATAGCCAATTTACAACGGTAAAATTAGCTGAAATACCCTGTACAATTCTGTCAGCGAGCGGTAAAAGCTTCAAGGCCACTCCTGTACTGTAAAGCGGGCTTCAAAGCGAAGTACTCATTAACGGCTGCAATAATCTCGTGAAAAACGCGTCTACGAAGTAATCTTTTCAAGTTAGAGAAGAGAAAAAGTCTGACAGGTCAAGGTCAGGTAAATAATGGGGTGGCAACAATGCTACACTAGTGACTTAAATGAGAAAAAATGTGAACTAACTTTTTACACGGACTTATCTTTCCTCCTAATATTTGCATTTGTTTGGATTATGATTATCTAAAACCAATTATATTTATTCTGGTTTCAGTCTTGAACCCGTTTTATTTTTGACGCACTTTACAATATCTCCTCTTCCCAACATTGGTGCAGTTTCTGAGTGATCAATGCAATAGTGCAGAAACCGAGCGGCTTAAAAATCGAAAATTTTAATACTTCAATACTGTGCTAGAAGATTGATCTGAATGCTCCTACATACTCTTTTTGAATTTTAAGCCAAACCGATTGATTTTTAATTTTGAGACCAGTATTAAAATGCTATGCATGTGAATATTTAAAAAACAATAGATTTATTTGGTACAAATATTACTTAAAGTAAGAAAATACAAGAAAAAGGGCCATTGCACATGGATCATTATCGTTGTAGTTTGACTCGACAACGAAGTGCAACGTAAGCTAAAACACGAAATATAACTATAACGAAAATTAACATCCAGTAGTCAAATTTAAGATCAGATTCTTTGAAACCAACTGAGGCAATTACTTGCTTACCATTGACTAAACACCCTTGTCCAGTTGGAATGGTGCCCTTTGACACATCGGGCAAATCACTTGCTATTGACCTTGGAACAGGCATCTCAAAATCGCAGTCAATATGAGTCACATCACGCCATTGATTTACTGTCAAGATTTCATTTGAATAGTGGAACCAAGAGAAATACTTGAGCCAATTTATCCATTTCGGGATTGTACTGAAATAAAAATAAACAAAATTTTATTTTATAATATGCTCTATACATTATCAATTATCTCATTACAAAAACACACCGATTATTCACGAAAGTCCCACCAAGTAGAGACAACGGAGAGATTAAAGGCGATGCCACTTCAAGACCAACAGTCAATGAAGTTGTAATGGATGATATAAAATAGCCGAAGCCAGCAGCTGCATTCACAAGTATAATGGAGACAGCATTACCGATCAAGAATGTATCAAAATCATTAACAAGTCCAATGGCATAATAACATATTGACCATGTAGCGCTTGGCAAAAGGATAAAATACGGTAGATCTGAAGCCATTTTCGCAATAAAATAAATACTAACGCGATACCGTCCAGCAGCATGTTCTCGCAAAAATATTGGCATTTCATTACAAAAAGCCTGAAAAAATAAATTTCATTAGTTAATCAACTGATACATAATGATTAATTAATAACTTTAAGATCAGTTTGCGAAACACTACTTACACCAATAATCATATAAATGCCAGAAAAATTTCCACTCATGATCGAAAGGAAAATAGCTCCGTTTATATTCATTATGCCTTCTTGATTGTAATCTTGTCCCCAGTAAGCCAATGCCACAAGAAGCGTACAAAACTGTTGAGACAAGTAGGAATAGAATCAATAACAATACGATAAATAGGAACAAGGTTTAAAATATTGATATTGATTGACTAACAAGAGTATTAGCGATTCGTGATGTTGTCAAAATGGGATCTCGGAAATTAATCAAAGCAGATCGATGAGTTAATAGATTGAATTGTGAAAATATTTCTATCTGGACAGGTTTAGAGTATTGATTATATTTAACAGGACCACCAAAAGTTGCTTCAGATACAATTTTTAATTCGCTTCTGAGATCTCGGTGGTAGTCAGAAGCTTCATAAGAGTTACAGATCATCTGCATTTAAAAAAAGAAGATATCAGTAAATTGAGTGTCATTTTTGTATCGATAATGTACTAACATTTACTTTTGACAAACACTGTTCTTTGTTTCCTGGAACAATGGATAATTGTTGAACGTAAAAATCTGATGGATTATAATTAGATGGACACTTGAATCCAAGTTGAGAAAAAAAATCAAGAGCTTTGTCTGCAGTTCCTAGAAACGCGACTCTACCTTCAGCTAGCAACATGATTTTATCAAACATTTTGAATATTTCAGATGATGGTTGATGAATGGTACATACAATGGTTCGTTGCTCATTAGCCAATGATTTAAGAACAGATACAACAGTTTGAGTCAT